AAAGTTACACCGAAACCTCCTTAACTATAATACAGGGTGATTCAAAAAGATTCAAAAAATGGTTTATTTCACTTGTAAATCATTACAGAACAGTGCAGTAAACTGTAAATGGTTTAAATGAGCATAAAGTTTATTATGTAATTGTACAAGGTCTCAGTATGAACCTCCTCCAGCTGTACAGACATCAGCGCCATAGTCAAATTCATCCCATACTGGATTGAGCGTGTCGGGTGTCGCTGCACTTACGGCTCTTTCAGTGCGATTTAGGAGATCATCCAGTGTTGTGGAACCAACGATGAACGCTCTGAGCTGTTGGAGCTTCACTGCCCACGAAAATCACGCTGCACAGTTATGACGGATTCACTCTTATTGAAGTGGAGAACGCAGAACGCTTTCTGCTCAGGGGTCTCATCTCCTCGCAGACTGAAGGGAGCCATCTTCCACTGACAGTCAGAAACTCTATTACCCCCTCTTTCAATTGGATTGTGATTGGTTCCTAGGCGCCTCACGGTTGTAAAAATATGGCGCTTCGAAATCGGATGAATCTTTTTGAATCGGCCTGTAATATTTTTCAGTATTTAGTGTGCCCACTCTGCCTTTATTACAGCATCCGTTCTTATTGGGGGGGAATTTTTTATTTTGGTTTTTCAAATAAATCTGCAGGTATATTTTTACATCTCCAAAGATCTGTCTTAGATGTTGGTTGCCTTTTCTGCTTCTCATCCCTATTGAAAATTGTTAGACTTAGAAATTTTCCTTTTTTAACTATTTTCTTTTCTTTTCACACCTTCTTGACAGCTTCACTTCCTTTCAGACAGCATTGAGTTGTCTTCTCACCATAGAAGGATGGACAGAAACAAGTGTGGTTTTCTTTGTGGATTTGAAGCAAGAGCAATATTTTAAACTCGTTTTGGAAATTTTAGTTTTTCACTTTGTTTACTTTCCTCTTCCTTATGCAAATGGACCATCTTATATCTATTCTCCTCAGAAATATCTCCTTTAGCCATTTTAGCTGCACCTGAGAAAGAAATCTGCAAGGCAGCAAAGGCGGGTTTGGGTAGTTGTTGCTTATGTGAATGTGCCTCTTTAAAGGGTAACGATGCCAGTGACACCTTTGGGACCAGCTTTTATTGAATGGACACTGCTATAACGTTTGCACCGACTGTGACTAGAAGGACGCCGATTCGATCCCCTGAGCTGACAGGACATGAAAGTGCCCTTGAGCAAGGAACCTGACCCCTAACTGCTCCCTCTCTGCACAGATGGGTGAAATGCGGTGGTGAATTTCCCCGTTGTGGGATTAATAAAGGGTAACTTAACGTAAGTCGCTAGTTTAAAAATTTAGAGGATGGAAACAGGGGTGTCCCCTCTTCTCTGCAAAGGGCTGGAGTGGCTGCAGTTTTAATTCCAACAAACCAGGAGCCCCCAATCAATTATTGAAGACAGAACAAATACAATCAGGTGTGGTTCGGCTTGTTTGAAATGAAAACCTGCAGCCACACCAGCCCTTTGCAGACAAGGCTGGACACCCCTGGATGGAATAGTCAGTAAGAGTAAACTGCAAAAATGTAAATTAAATGCTGATAGATTTGATATTGCGTTTAGTGTTGGAGGGTTTTGTGTTGTATTTTTTTCTGACACTGAAAAATAAACAGCCAATTTGGCTGGAAATTGGATCCCTTAAATGGTCAGGGCCTGTCGGCAGGCCCAAGGTTTTATTAAACACTTCTATAACTTAGGAATAGCTCAGCCAGTTTGCATTGAAGTCCCTGTAGTGACTGAATTATAAGGCTAGGATTTTAAGGGGTTAAGGTGATCTCTGACCTTTGCACAGTACTGTATGTTTAGCATGCTGATCAATTCTATAGTTAATGGTTTGTATCAATCACAATCTGTATCTTAGATCCTTTTAACTTCATAGTATTTGTATGCATGCAAAGCTCCTTTATAAACTACAAAAAACAAACTACAAGAACCGCGATCAAAATGGTTGGACAGAGAACTTAAGAGTCATCGACAGCTTTTTAACTACTCTAACCCTAACAGATGGAAAGCGTAGCAGTAGCTGCTAGTTCAGACAATGCATTCTGTTCATTCTAACTAGCAGCGCTCCTCCCCGAGTTGTAAATATCAGCACATGCTCATAATCTTTGTTGTCATCAGATGTTCGCCACCAGGCCATTGGGCCTCTGAACTGGCTTGACTCCTGCGGCAGTGTTTAGCAGACCTGATCACATCTGCTATCAGAGGATATCTATTGACCTTTGGCTATGACGGGGATTGTTATAACATAGTGATTTAGCAGAAGGAAGATAAACGCTGCCTTAGATTTGGGGAAAATATTTTGCATTTTATCTGAGTCTTTCATGCTTCTGAGGCATGAAATACATGAGCCGTCTCATAACGGCAGCAGAGGGAAACGTGTTTTAATGCAGTTAATAATTGCAGTTATTTCAGAGTAAAGTCTCCATGAAGTCTTTACTCCGTTGGGTTCAGTCAAATCTGCAGGCTTTGAAACAGGCGGCTAGTTCTGAACAGCCCTAAGCATTTCTTATCTGCTTATGTCTGAATAGCTTTCTCAGTCTCTCTGAGGTTTTCAGTTTTGTATAGCAGCTGTCAGAAGCCTGTGAGAAATCCACTCTCTCTCTCTCGCTCGCACACACACACACACACACACACACATACACAGACACACACTCATAACTAAAAAATTAACAACTCTTCATGCCTAAGGATCGTCCATGTAGACAAGTTGCCTTTTGTCCTCATGGACTAAAAAAAAAAGCCAACATAAAACCTCAACACAGACTAATATCAGAATAAAACGAAGCCTTTATGTGTGCAAAAGGAGCAAAAATGGCTCCGACACAGGCAACAAAAACCTTTTCTCACTGGCTAAGTTTACACACAAAGGTAGCTGCCAATCCGATTGAATACATTCTGATTACAGATTAAGACTGAGGTGTTTATTCTCACTCCACTCAACAATCTGATGAAAATCTGTTTACATGCTCACTACAAGAAATGAGATCCAAAATGACGCACATGAGTAGAGAACCGTTTAGTGTGGACGTTACCAAGACAGCGAACATCACGTGAGTCCAGTCAGAGTGAGATGAGCAGCAGTGAGCAGTGCTTGTATTTTTAACTACTTTAAAATGATGTCAGACTCAGGAAAACGTCCTTCACGTCCTTATTAAAGAAGGCAGAGAGGAAGATGTCGTGTTCTGAGACACATAAGCTGGACGTCCGTCCCACTGCCGTCTTTTAAAGATCAGAGCATAAACTTCGTCTCCTCTGCAGACCAGTTTCTGCTCTGCAATGTTGAACGTTATAAACTTTCACTATGACGTGATGAACATGATCAGAACGTACTTAAACTTTCCGATAGGGAATGTAATCAGATACAGACATTTACATGACTATTATTCTTCTATTTAACAGATTATTTACAGGATTACACACCTCGTTCAATCAGATAGAAATTGTATTCCGAATGGCCTCAATCGGACTAGACTATTCCGATTTAAGTGTATACATGGACGTATTCTATTCCGATTAGTAGTTTGATTATTAACGGATTATTAGGCTGCATGTAAACGTGGCTACTGATAGTAACAGCCAAATGCAAAATGCTACTTCATTTTCCACTTTGCTGTTAATGTGTATTCTATACATGCTACTTCATTTCTGCTGATGCATTTATAAACAGGCCTACTGCACAATTTCCCCCACTATTTTAGTCATTGCTGATTCTCACCTGCTAGCTAGGTCTGCCCCCATCACAAACAATGCTACTGAGCCAGGAGGTTTAAGGCTACTTGCTTCCTCCGAGTCTCACACATCTTTTCGAACTGCTGTCAACACAATGTTACTGGACAGCTCAACATGCTTGGAGGAGAAATTTACCTGTCAATTCCATTACGTCGGCTAACAGACACCAATGGGCAGATGAAGGGCCAGCCCACCCACCTAGAGAGCATGACCAAGCATGCTCTCTTGAGCTCCTAGCTGGACAACTGCATTTTAAAAGAAAACTTTCCACTTTGCACTATAGCGTAGATAAACGTGAGGGCAGTTCCGTTTGTTGACTTCTATTCAATCGTACCTGAGTTTTCTAACAGACATTAGTGTGGTCAATACTGTGGGTTACAACCCCAATTCCAAAAAGTTCGGATGCTGCGTAAAATGTAAATAAATGTAAATAAAAACAAAATGCAATGATTTTCAAATCTCATAGACCCGTATTTTGCTGCCATCAAGTTCTAAATGAGTCAGTGTTTTTCATGAAATGGCAAAATGTCTCACTTTCAACATCTGATATGTGTTCTATGTTCTATAGTGAATAAAATATGGGTCTGAGAGATTTGCAAATCATTTAATTTTCATTTACATTCATTTACATTTTACACAGTGTCCCAACTTTTTTGGAATTGGGGTTGTACTTGTTCTGTGGACAGCAGAGAGGATGTCCTGAACTGTCACAGTCAAAACAATGAAGTCTGGAACCGTGTCCTCAAATTCTCTTTGGGGTCTTAAGAATAGAGAAAAGAACACCGAATTCCTGGACATCTGCCATGTTCGGAGACAAAATATTAACTGTCCACTGTCTGTCAACTGTCTATTAACATGAAAAGGAAATGAAATTATTAGTGAACAATTGTTACTCGTGTAAATATCTGTCTAACACTGTACATAGACAGACAGATGCTGGTGAAAATATGTAAAACCTTTATTCTGAAAAGTGAGGATAGCACAAGAAATGCTACTGTACCATGTACAATGAAATGCTTCAGTGGGGGTAAGTGATATATTCCCAATTTTCCTTTCCATTTTTGTTCAAAAATACCATTCACAACACAACTATTCCAAGATGTGTTTCAGAACCACACATCAATGAAAGGAATGTACACTACATCCATATTCAAACGCTCTATTCCTTTAAAGAAAGTTAAGGAAACGTCTTGAAGACTCAGTGAGTCTGTTTTTTTGACGAGTCATTTTAGGTCAAAAGTATCTCCAGGCTGAATGTTAAAATGCCTCTCTAGGCCACAGTTTCCTTCCTCATGATGCGTTTGGAATTGCATAAGACTCCTGTGAGCGCTGCTCGTCCTCGCGGTTTTCCTCTTTTCCTCATGGCCTTGTGGCACCTGAAGGAGATGCCCAGCTCCTCCATCACTTCACTGAAAGAGATGCACTGTCAAAGAGAAGGTAAGAGTGAACTTTTCATTCTGCTACTAGTCTGACTTAAAGCCTTAAAGCCCTAACCAGGGGGACCAAGAACACAGGCAGGCTTAGGGATGTCCCGACCCGATCTATACAGGCATAATTTAACAGATCAGGTATCGACTACATTAAGCCTAACCCAGTTCCAATCACTTGTTTCGTGTTTTTTCCAATCATGCCGCTGCAGACGAGGTGATAGAAATGGGTTTTCTCCACAACCCGCGGAGATGAGGTGTGTTTTCAAATGTCAATAAAGAGGGGTGGGAACTATTTTACAGTGGAATTTGAAAAGTTAACACAGTACCAGTGTTTTGAATGTGTTGGCCACATCTTGTCTAAACGCTGACATGTAAAATGTGGGTGAGTGGCTATTCTGTGTCGAGTCTGGATGGCCAGTTATCGTTCTCAGCTCATACTGTGGACCTGACTCAGTCATGCAGGTTCCTTCTGTACAACATCTGGAAGATTCGACTCTCACTCGAGAGGCCGTCCAGGTGCTAGTTCAGTCTCGTCATCTCAAGGCTTGACTACTGCAACTCGCTCTTGGCTGGTCTTTCTATGCGGCTATCAGGCCTCTGCAACTCATTCAGAATGCAGCAGCACGGCTCGTCTTCAGTCTCCCCAAGTTCAGTCATGTCACTCCACTGCTGCACTCCCTTCACTGGCTTCCTGTAGCTGCACGCATCAGATTTAAAACCCTGATTCTTGCCTACAAAGGCAAAAATGGACCCGCCCTTCCCTCCCTAATGGCAATGGTCAAAACTTGAACTGTAACTCGAGGCCATTGAGCTCCAAGTACAGCTCGGCTTGATCCGCCATCCTTCAAGTCGCGTGGAAGACAAGCATCAAGACTTTTCTCTGTCCTGGAGCCCAGGTGGTGGAACGAACTCCCACTGGCTGTCCGAACAGCAGAGTCTCTCGCTGTCTTCAAGCGCAGACTGAAGACACATCTGTTTATACAGCACTTAAGTGAGTATTGAGTTAAGTATTTACTGAAATGTATTAAGTACTGCGCTTACTGAAATGTATTGCATTGCGCTGTGTTTAATTCTGTTTCTTTTTCTCTTGGTATCAACATGGGTTTCCAGCGATATCTGAGCTCAGGACGAGCTTTCTGTCTACTAGCAAAGATACTTTCTCTGGGTAGACAAAGCACTTTCTGTAAGTCGCTCTGGATAAGAGTGTCTGCTAAATGCTGTAAATGTAAATGAGTCTACTTTATGCTACTTAGTGCGAGTGACACGTCGCCAGTCGTACTGTACTAAATACAGTCCTGCAGTGGATCGGGACATCTCTAGACTGAAATCCTACCTTTAATCACTGTTCAAAACAAGATGTTCAAAATGAACCGTTAATGCAGCAAGAAAAACTGGTTCATCAGTTACAGTGACCTTTAACCGAGACTTAAAGCCTTTCAAAGCATGAATTATTTGGACTGTTGTAAAATGACTACTGCTGTCTTTAATTTGGTGGTTGGTGTAGTGTAGTGGGTAACACCTCTGCCTTCTACACTGTAGACTGAGGTAGTGTTAGGAGTCCTTGGGCAAGACTCCTAACACTACCTTCGCCTACCTGTATAAAATGATCAAATTGTAAGTGGCTCTGGATAAGAGTATCTACTAAATGCCATAAATATATCCAAATGTAATTTAATTGAAGTCCTATAGCAGACAGGTGAACATGTTCTGTCATGTTCTTCTTTTGGCATTCAACTTCTGAATACAGCGTTTGCTGAAGGAGCCTCGATGCTGCTGGGGGTCAAAAAGCCTGCGAAAACGTTAAGAGACGAAAAGACTAAAGAACGCTTCTGCCATGGCACTTCAAACAAAGGCTGTTAATCCTGCATTGTAATAAGAAGACAAGATGAAAACAGGCGCTGTTCCAGAATTGGAGATTTTAGAACCCTTCTGAACTTCAAATACAGAATTTCATTTAAGCTGACACAGGAGGGCATGCTCCTGAGAGTGGAATAACATAAAAAAGCCAGTTTTTCTCGCTACATCAAGCGTATAACTTTGTTAATTTTACAGACTGACAGACATTGTATAAAAACCTCCATATTTTGATAATGAAAATAGCACAAGGAATGTTACTATACCATCTATAGATTTGGTTATTGCCTTAAGTTGGCACACAGAACATTTTCAACAGACTAAATTAGTCTACATCATGTATTATTTACTCAAAGAACTGAAAAGGGTACATGCAAACAGTTACTTACTGTTTTAATTTGTACTTTGTCATAAGGCCACAGGGAAGAGGACACACTGACAATGTGACACAAAGGAGATGAGTTTCTTCGACAGCCTCATTTTTGCTTAATGGCTCGGAACATCTTCAACAGTGTACTCTCACTTCTGCTGAAGGAATTATTTGGCTTATTGTCTTCTTGTAATTATAAAGCTCCAGCTCTTATCCGTGAATCAGCTCTGTTCCACTGTAAAAAAGCGGATTTCTGTCCTGATTGACAGTCTCGGACGTGGCACAGCTTTGACCGTGAGAGCCGGAATGCCCTCTGTGATCCAATCCATCATGATAAGGTTATTTAATACAGCTTAGGCTACAAAGGCCATGGCCAGAGAGCTTACAGTCTACTAAGGGACAGCAGATTCAGCATCTCTATGGACTGCAGCACAATTCTTTGGCCAAGAATTAGCTTTTGGGCCTATTTTGGATTATTCTAAGTGAATGTAATATGGGTTAACTGAGGTTTTGTGGCCTTTTGAAATAAAAGTGGCCGAAGCATGGGAGCATGCTCTAAAACAGGGGTTCTCAACCTTTTCCACTCCAAGGCTCACCTGTATATAACCATAAAGCATAGCGGCCCACAGAACAACTAGAATCGACTCTTCTTTTATTGTTTTTTTTTCCACAGGAGTAACTGTTTGGTTTCGAGATGTTTCTTCAGTTTTGAAGGTTTTAGCACCTCATTTGAAATAACTCAGTGTGGCTGATCTTTTGGATCAGCATCGTCACAGTCAACAGTAAAGATAAACCTTATTTGATATCTGCTTATCTGTCATAGGTTTATCAGTTTGAGTTTAACTACTCAGGTCGCTGATGCTTGGCCAAAAACCAAACGCTGTTATTATTTTCAGGCTTGCCTGTCATTTTTATCAGCTGAATAAAAATGATATAAGTGCAATGAGAGTCTGTAAAGAGTCAGATGTTAAATCAGGCAGATTATACTGACTTTATACAGCGCTGATGTACTGCTGGAAGACGAGGAAAGTCAGCTCTATTGACGAATTGCCTCGTTTGATCATAAAATGTGTTCACACCAGCAGTGATAAACTGAACAGGGTTCGGTTGGAAGCGGACAGAGACCGTTTTGTCGGAGCGGTTCAGCTGTTTGATGCAGACGAATACGGGTGGCGTGTTCACACACGTCAAAACAGAGCGAACTAAAGAAAAAGGTTTGATAGGTCCGCACTAAACAAGGTAGAGCCCAGAGGAATCTCTCTAATCTCTAATTAGCTGTCTGCGCTGCTCCCTGCGACTGCGATGTTTTTATTTACACGTCTCTACCAGCCCACTACGAACTACTGCCTCCCCCTGAGTACAGGTCCGTGAACCACTAGAGGGTGCTTCACAGCCCACTGGTGGTCCCCGGCCCACAGGTTGAGAAACCCTGCTTTAAAACATGCACTATCCATGTGTGGGCTGTAGCTGGGAGTCACATGCAAACCAAGAAACAAGACTGGAATCACAGCAAGGCATGTCCTAAACATATCTCCCTGGTGGAAACTGTCATATTTGCACAAGCACCAATGGAAACAAATCAATGTTTAATTTTGGACTCCAATTCTTATCTATCAAGGTATAGGGCAAGTAATAAGACCTAAAACCTATTGAACACTTCGAAGTAATCTTTTCTACATTTGGAAGAAGCATGTGTACTAGATTGAGGTTATGAGTTAAGTGGAGTGATATCTGGTGACAGGGAGGGGTGATTAATGAGGTCACACGCACCCCATTCCAAAGCTAGTGAGGCAGAGCAGGAGTGATTAACGCGAGGAGCATATGTCGTCCCCAAGAAGGCGCCCACTCTCTAAATCTGTGGATAAGGAGGTGCCAGTGGAAGAGGTGGAATCGCGTCTCTGCAGCTGCCGTGACTGCACGCCGTAAAAGAAACAGAAGGCCTACGCATGCAGATGAAAGACACAAAACATAAAAATGAAATGCCGGATTGATGGACAAATCAATAAACATGCAAATAAAAATGCATACATTGCATGAAAATGCTAAATAATAACAGCATGCCAAATAAAAATTATGCAAAGCTTCGTCACAAAGCGACCTAAACATGACAACGTGAGCACGAACTGACAATCTGCTGCTGAATAATGAATACAAGCCCAGCAATTACTGCCTCTCACAACTGCTCTGATATGATTTCTACTCATACAATCCTCTTAAGCATTGAGCTCCACAGGAGCCACACATAAAGCACAAATTATGCCACACTTATACTCTGCCGCCTCATCATCCTCACCTCCTCAATGTCGCTGTTCTTGCGGGCCTTGTAGATGAATTCTCCTATGGCCACGAACACAGACAGGACAAGGCCAGCAGCCAGCACAATGAAGATGCCCCCGATGTTCTCCACGCCCAAGGCGTTAGCCTCCTTCTTGTCCTCCTCAGGGCAGCCATTCCCCCTCCACCACTTCTCCTTCATCATGTGCAGCTTGCCCTCCTCCTGCAGCTGCAGGATAGCGATGGTCACCTTGTCTCGATAGGGAGACCCTAGGGAAGAATGTTGCTGCTTGTAGGGTGTCATGCAGATATGGAAAAGGTTTAAGAAATTACGTGTTATATACACTGATCAGGCATAACATTATGACCACCTCCTTGTTTCTACGCTCATTGTCCATTTTATCAGCTCCACTTACTATATAGGTGCACTTTGTAGTTCTACAGTTACAGACTGTAGTCCATCTGTTTCTCTGCATACTCTGTTAGCCCCCTTTTACCCTGTTCTTCAGTGGTCCGGACCCCCATGGACCCTCACAGAGCAGGTACTATTTGGGTGGTGGATCATTCTCAGCACTGCAGTAACACTGATGTGGTGGTGGTGTTTTAGTGTGTGTTGTGTTGGTACGAGTGGATCAGACACACCAGTGCTGCTGGAGTTTTTAAACACTGTGTCCACTCACTGTCCACTCTATTAGACACTCTGCCTTGTCGGTCCACCTTGTAGATGTAAAGTCAGAGACGATAGCTCATCTGCTGCTGCACAGTTTGTGTTGGTCATCCTCTAGTCCTTCATCAGTGGTCACAGGACGCTGTTGGCTGGATATTTTTGGTTGGTGGACTATTCTCAGTCCAGCAGTGACACTGAGGTGTTTAAAAACTCCAGCAGCACTGCTGTGTCTGATCCACTCGTACCAGCACAACCACGTCAGTGTCACTGCAGTGCTGAGAATGATCCACCACCCAAATAGTACCTGCTCTGTGAGGGTCCATGGGGGTCCGGACCACTGAAGAACAGGGTAAAAGGGGGCTAACAGAGTATGCAGAGAAACAGATGGACTACAGTCTGTAACTGTAGAACTACAAAGTGCACCTATATAGTAAGTGCAGCTGATAAAATGGACAATGAGTGTAGAAACAAGGAGGTGGTCATAATGTTATGCCTGATCAGTGTATTATAGCTGTCAAAATCAAACCCTGAATTGCAATGTCTAACCGTTTTTAACTTTAATGTATATTGGTTTCGTATATCGCTTCTGTTGGAAGAAAACCTTGGATCTCCAAAATGGTAACTTTACAGGAGAAGGAAAAAACCTACTTTACTTTTAATGTAAGTCAGTGGAACCAGACTTTTTGTCCAGGTAATTTTGGGCCGTTTCTTTTGGTCGGTTTATCATGAAATTTACACACAATGTAAAGAGCAACAGCTATTTTCCAATTATGTCAAAAACTGAAAAACAAAAATGGAGATACAAGGTTTTGTTCCGACAGCAGCGATATGTCTATATAGTCTATCTATTTTATATCTCTATTATTCCATTCACCATGAAAGATTCACAAAATGTAAAAAGCAATTTTCAAAAGGTCTAAGAATAAACAAAAATGCTTTGATATGAAACAATGATATGCATGTTTCATAATTTGGCTCGTGAGAATCTTTCACCCTTCATTCATTTATTTCCCACTCAAAATGATCATTGCTTACAGGCTATTCATTGTTATGAGGATATTTCTGAGAAGATTAGATTAGATACAAAATACTTGCATAAGTTGGTGAAAGTCAAAGGAAAATGAGTGTTTTTTTTATAATTATTAAAAAGAAAGAGATAAATTGGGACCACCAAAACCATCACCATCAGATAAACAGTACTTAACGCTTTCACTTTTGAGAGAGAGGAGAAAATCAAGCTCCACTCTGGCTTTAGTTCTGAAAAAACTAATCCTTCCATCCTTCCACTGTGAGAAGAAAACTCAGCACTGTGTCTGAAAGGATGTGTAGCTGTCAAAAAGCCATTACTGAGAAAAGGAAACAGACAAACAAAGTCTGAACATGTTTGGGATTACTCGGATCATGAGAAGCAGAAAACGCAACCAACTTCTAAGACTCAACTTTGGAAAAATATCCCTGCAGATTTCTGAGAAACACTGAAAGCAAGTCTCCTGAATAGAAAGGAAGCTGTAATAAGTTAATTCACCTCTGCATTTAACCCATCCGTGCAGTGAAACACCCACATACACACTAGTGAATTCACACACTAGGGGGCAGTGAGCACACTTGCCCGGAGTGGTGGGCAGCCCTATCCGCAGTGCCCTGTGAGCAGTTGGGGGTTAGGTGTCTTGCTCAAGGGCACTTCAGTCATTTCCTGTCAGCTCAGGGGATCAAACACAACCTGACCCCAACCTCCAGCCCACGACTTCCCCAGAGGTAAAGGGTGGACTGAAAAAATTACTGAATACTGAAAAAATACTGGAAAAAATATAGATTTTGTTGTTATTTTCTGTTAAATATCTTTATGCTTTTTCTTAATGCTACAAAGTGAATAATTTGTATTTACCGTTTTTACTGGACATTAAATAAGTAAAGGGGGTCTCTGTATTTTGCATAGTACTGTATGACCTGCAAAAACCAGTGAGATAAGTAAGTCATGTTGTATCTCATTCATTAGGTACTAGTCGTTACCTATGGGGGTGCCCACTCCATAGCCTTTGGAGTCTATGAGTCCCCCGACCTGGGTGAGGTTGCAGTTCCTCTGGGTGATGTACTCTATGCTGGTGGACTCCATGAGGAGAGCATAGTCTGTAGTTAGGACGCGCGTAATGCCCTCTCTGGTGTTCTTTACCAGCGCCGTGTTCTTCCTGCTGCTCATGAACGTCCACATCTTCTCATACGTAGAGATTTTGGACTTCTGGCAACAAACAAAAGGAGAACGCAGCAAAGTTGTGGTTGACTTTGAAACTTTTGAAACAGGGAACATCAATCCCCTCTGTTGATTTCATTCTGCAGAGGTGATACCATCTCTTACATGGCTATCAATATCAGCTTATCAAGGACACAAAGCGGGCAGGATCCATACAGCTGTGCTGTGTAATAACTTTGCCCCTGCTGCTTCTCAGGATGAGTTAAAAAGAGGCAAGTTGCCACCGATTTGCAGCCTGTGTGTGTGTGTGTGTGTGTGTGTGTGTGTGTGTGTGTGTGTGGAGCTCAGCCAGGAGAAATGGGACAGCTGCTAAATCTCTCTCGGCTGATTCAATCTGTATTGGCCGTCTACAAGCCACTGTTTTACCAGCTACAGGAGGCAGTAATCATCGGCTACAATCTTTGTGGATAAAACCCATACCGGTTGCTGTGCTTGCTCTCTTGCCCCCTTCCGTGGCTCTGAATTGCCAAACTCTTTCTTTCTCCCTCTCTTTCTTTCTCTCTCTCTGGCTGTCTGTTATGTCTCTCATCTCTCTCTCCTTGAAGACAGGCTCTTGTTGGGTAATCCACATATAGTCCATATATGGTCCATTCGTTAAGGCCCACCAGTGGATTTGCTGAGGTAGATTACTGGTATTACTGAGATAGATTACTGGTATTACTAGCATAAGAGACGGGAGGATGATTAGAAGCAAATATTGCAGTGATTTCTGGCGGATTGGAGAACACAGGGGCATTAGCGGGGATGCAAAGATGAATCTAGAGGAAAGCCATCTTTCTAGAAAAGGAAAAGCAGCCCTGGCCCAATGAAGCCTTTCCTCACATGCTACATTTCCTGTGAAGACACTGTGTGGAGTGATGTATTTTCAGCATAAACACATTGTTTTTGGTCACGCTTTATTTGGATGGTCCCCTATAGATTATCTACAGATATTTAAATCATTAACCATCTTTCTGGTGATCCTCAGTTGATTATCAACAACATCATGGTTAGGGTTAGGTTTAGGAGTAGGTGTAGGTTTTGCCTTGAGGTTAGGATAAGTTTAAGGTTAGGCTTAGATTTAATAAAATCTTCCACACTCAACCTCAAGTTCAGTTGCGTTTAATAGATATTTAGTTCAACGTTGCTTAAAGGCAAGGCAAGTTTATTTATTTAGCACCTTTGACGCTGCTGTCATTCAAAGTGCTTTAATAATGAGAAAATTCAGCCAGAGTTGTTTAAAAAAAGGAAAGTAAATGCAAAAAACAATTAAAAACAACATTAAAAGCAATTTTAATGTTTAAATTTAAAAGAGAAAATCATTCAATTAAAATTCAAATTAGAAATTAAATTAGGATAGTTAATCAAATTAAAAACTAAAAGTCAGATTAGGATTAAAAAAGTGCCGTTAGAGAGGAAAAAGGGGCTAGAAATGCTAAGTGTTTAAACTGAGCTGAAAGCTGCTCAAACAGGAATGTTTTGACCCTGGTGTCCAGTGTCGGAGCAGCACAGTAGCCAAACGCTGCTTCTCCATGTTTAGTCTTCACCTATGGCAGGACTAACTGACCAGTTCATAATGATCTGAGAGTTCTGATTGGCTCATATCACTGTAGCAGATCAGATAAATATGCTGGTCCTGCCCCACTGATCGATTTATAGACCAGTAACAGTAATTGGGGGGGGGGTTCCTTCTTTAACTCCTAATGAGACTCTGGCAGCTGCATTCTGAATCATCTGAAGATGTTTGATTGTCTTTTTTGGGAGTCCAGTTAGGTGACCATTACAGTGATCAATCCTGCTAGAAATAAAAGCATGGATGAGTTTCTCCAGGTCTGCTTTAGTCAGAACATCTCCGATCATGTTGTAACTGCTTTAATACGACTGATAAAACTAAGATCAGAGTCCATAGTACACCAAGGTTACGTACTAGTTCTTTAGATTGGGGTCTTGAATCCAGATAGGCAGCTAGTCTGTGACTTTCATTGCTATTCCCAAATAAAATAATCTCTGTTTTATTTTTATTCAACTGCAGAAAGTTTTCTTCCATGCAGTAAATGAGGAGCTCAAGGCACTTACAGAGTGAGTCAAGGGGACCATAGTTGTTTGGGTAAAGGGCCAAGTAGATCTGACTATCATCTGCATAGCTGTGGTAAGATATCCCATAGTCTTGGAATAAAATAAACTTAAAGATATACTGAGCACCTACAGTGAACCATCCAAATAAAGTGTTACCTTTTATTTTTGCATCCATCATCTAGATCACACTGTATTATGAGCAATCAATGCCCTTTCTAATCTCATCAGTACTCTCTCTGCATCAGTATACCCTTCAGAACAAATGAGATTGTTAAAAAACTTATAACTCTCTGAAATCTATCACGGGCATTCTTGTTATATTTTGCTTTCATTATGATATTAATGACCCACGCATAAGAGCATGTATTCTTACTTTAAAGAAAGTCATGGTCGAGCCGTCTCTCACGGCCCCGTATTCGATTCTTGTTTGCTTTGCCAGATCGTCTGCTGAATCGATCGGAGCGTCCATCCTCTCCACCGTGAGAAAGGCAGCCAGGTTAGCGGTGTAGGACGATATGATGATTAGCGTGAAGAACCACCAAATCCCTCCAACGATTCGGGTGGATAGAGCCTTGGGCATCAGTTCTGAGCCTGTTACAGCAGCAGCAGAGACACTCAGAGTTAGGGGAGCTAGGAGATAGGGCAGCAGGGATAACACGCCACACCCTATAAGGGATGAATGATTAATAGTTTTTTCTATATCTAAATTGCTTTTTTAAAAGAGTGCAATTTTCCAATCGCAAGAGCTAAAATTTTAATTATATTTTACAATATTCACAGTGGTGAAATGGAGAAATTCAACCTAATGATGCCGAGCTTGTAAACTGGCATTGTGGCAGACTATATTCAGCATTTACACCTGAAGCATGGAAAAATAGATGTGCTGGTTTTCTTGGCATAAAAGCCTGGAGTTTAATTTAAAGATAATTGCATTTAAACCGTAATCGCAATAGTGGGCAGAAAATTTGCAATAAGATATTCTTCCCAAATGGTTCAGCCCTGCAGACTGCATAACCCCCCCAACACATTCACCTCTAAACCTAAACAAGCTTTTAAAAATAATAATAACGTGCGTTCGGCTGTCCAGTGACGTTGCGTTAGCGGCAGTTTGAAAAGATGCGGTGGTGCTTCACAGGTCTTGGAGGAAGCCTCACCCTCCTAGCACTGGTAGTATGGTGTGATTGGGGGAGTCCTAACAAATGGGTGGAATAGGAGACGACTAAATTGGGGAGAATATTGGGGGGAAAAAAAATTACAATATTAGAAAAGTGTATTTGGGAAACACTAACATGGCCAACGATGAATGAAAGGTAACAGACACCATGATTAATTCACTGCTTAGGTGTAATACTGATAGAAACAAGTGAGACAATCTTGAACATTTCAAAACCTCTGTGTTCGGCAGCATCATGTACTGGATTCAGCATACTCCAATCAGATTTATTTGCGCCCCTGCTGTTTCTTCTATCAATAATATTGATTAAATGTGTCTTCTTGTGTATTAATTAACAAACTGCCAAAGTAAACAGCCAGAAATAATGTGTTTTTTACCAAAATACCATTTGGAAAAGCAATTGACTAGTGAATAAATAGGCTACACACAGTAGAATAGAGTAGTACACCTTCATAAAGCCATACAACAAACTCTTTTCTTTCCAAAAACATAACTATAAGTATTTATGTATAAATATGTAAAGTCCATAAGTGAAATTTAACATTTTCATTTCAACCGAGTTGTCAGTCAGCACCAAATACATAAACACTCCTGAAACTATTAGCCCACACAATGTTCGAAAATTCAGATCAGATCAGAGCAACTGATTCATTTTACTCAAACCTTTCAAATGAGTCAGTTTAAGCATCACTGCTTACAAGCTTTCTTTGTTTATTAGCATATCGCTGCTGTCGGATCAAAACCTCGTATCTCCAAAATGGTAACTTTACAGGAGAAGGAAAAAACATACTTTACTTTTAATGTAAGTCAACGGAACCAGACTTTTTTCCAAGTAATTTTGGACCATTTCTTTTGGTCCATTCATCATGAAATTTACACACAATTTTAAGAGCAACAGGCATTTTCAAATTATGTCAAAAACTGAAAAATGGCAAAAATGGAGATATAAGGTTTTGTTCCGACAGCAGTGATAAGCATTTTAGGTCAAACTGAGTGAAGTGCTGTTATTCCCAATTAGGCGCAACCTAAGAAAACCATGTGATTCAAGAGGCTGGTAACAGTCTGTGCTAATAGCAAAATGAAAAAAACTATATGTTCCTCCCCACATATCATGCTGCATATCAAAGCTGCGGTCAGTGAAATGAAACGCTGCAGTAGCAGTAGAAGAGTGTATATGCCTGACTTGTGGTGCTGCTGTAATAGGGGAGCCAGTCACTCCTACACTCTGAACTGACTATAAATACAATTGGAAAAGATGGGCTGTTATAGATACTGGACTAAAGCAGTGTGTAACTGAGAACACTTTATCTTATCAGTGCACTCATATAGCTTCTGCTCTCACTGCATTCGGTCTGGATTTCCATCTGGAGAGCAATGATAAATCTGAGGGGTGGATATTCTATGGTGGTACAGGCTCAGATACATGAATCTGTCCAAATTACTGCACTCTAGTGTCCGTCTCGACTAAGGGCTAAAAAATAGGGCTTTCCTCTGTTATCTCTATGAGGAACCCCCTACCACATACAGTCCAATAATGCTCTCAGACCAGCAGTGGCCTGGAGACACGAGGTACACTTGACTTTCAAGTAAGGTAATGGACTGTAGTACAACAGACCTCTGAGGTTGTGGGTCTAAACTGTTTTGCCCATGAAAAAAATGAATACTATTTTCAAAAATCACAACTATTACAAACTGTGGTAAAGTAAGGCAGATATGTTTTGTCCTATTTGTATTTTTCTCCTGAATGCCACTAGATCCTTTGAATTTTGCGGTCATTGAGCAGTTGAAAACCCAACGTTGCTACATTAATGCTACATGCAAAAGAAGCAAATGTAAGGCTTCTACAGGAACTAATCACCACTTCACCACTACTATATAACAACAAAAGCTACTCAAATTGAAGAATACTAATAGCGATGCACCAATATGGGTATTGATGCCAATATTTTGCATGTACTTATATGTCCATGCCGATGCTAGAGCTGGGCGATACGGCCAAAAACGTTATCACGATAAACAAAATTCATATCGTTCGATATCGATACATATCGCGATAAATGTCAAATCATGATTTCTTTCACGTTTGAAGGCTGATTTTGCTCCTGGGTGGTTAATTGTGGTTTTAAACTATCCTTTATGGTCCGATCATGACAAACACTCGGCAAACAGTGGAACATTTCACTAATCTGTCATGGAAGAGTGGGAGAAAGTTTCTGAGCTGTTTTTATCAGCTTGAAAAGCACAGCTGCAATTTTTGTACTAGTCATGATTTAAGAAAGAAAACAGATTATTTTTAGCTGTCTGGTGACGAGCGCTCGGCTACCCCGGTACAAATGCTAAACAAGTGGCCAACAACAGTGCTAAACTCTTTAGTTTCTCAACGACAACTCGGTTCGGTAGGTCACTGCGGTCACTCCTACCACATCCATGTCAGAGCATATCACAGTATTCAGACAGCAGCCAGCGATGACTGGGTTTCTCTATGCTATCGCAGTAGTTTAAGGGGTGAACCACAGTATATCTGACGCTCGCTGTGTAAAAGCATTATCTGCAGTGTGAATCTCTCACACCGGTCACAGAGTCCTCCTTTTAGGTACGTTTAAACTGAAAGCGGTGATTTTGTGTCTTGTTTGATCTACAGTATCATCAATTCACCGTGTTGTGCCGGAGCGCTGCTTCAAGTATATACTGTATAACTTCGCGTTTCAGCCATTGCTAAAGTATGCTTGGCGACCCTTTTTTTACTCATGGCCCCCTCCCTCTCTAATCAAGCCGAAAAATTCGGAAGTGCGCCCTCTCCTGGCGACAGCAGAGTAGTGTCGCTTTCCTTGCAGTAGAAAGTGCCACCAGGGCTTTCGCTAAACGTGGAAGTGTGAGAGTGGTGTATTATATTGAACATTTATCGAACCTGTCTTATTGCTCTATCGAGGAAAAGTTATATCGCGATACTTATCGTTATCGTTTTATCGCCCAGCCCTAGCCGATGCCAATACATACATGTTTAAAAAGAACAGAAATTGAGACGTCATCTACCTGGATTAATATTATGAAGAAAAATAACATTGGGTTTATGCAGGGTTACATAATAGTAGCCCAGCATTGCCTAAAGCTTCTGCATCATCAAACATTTGGTTAAAATATAGTTCAAATCTAAAACATCTGTCTAATGCTGAAGTATTTTTTAAGCAATTTTCAGCTGATATCGAAACGATTCCAGGATCATTGTGCATCCCTAGCTTCTACTGCCACACCCACTTAACCAGACTTGACAAAGCTTGCTAGCATATCTGGGTTTTTTGGTAAGGTTGCTAATCTTATGATATTAATTCAATGTGCAGGAGTGGTAGCTTACATGTAGCAATATTCCTATTTTAACCACTAAACAACGTCTGAATTCAACTAACAGACTTTAAAATCACCTTTTATGTTTTCCATTGAGAAAAACAGCTTTGAACCAGAACTTGCACAGATGGCAAACTACAAAGGTCTATTTCAGTGGATGAATCTTTACTGACCATATAAACTTTTTACAGCAGAACCAGCAATCCTGTCAACTTATAATAGAGATAGAGATGATAGCTGATGTAAAACCTGTAGACAGTGGACATTTACCCTGGTCCTGGAGATCCACGTTCCTGCAGAGTCACAATCTAACACACCTGATCCAGCTAATTAACTTCTTCAGAAGTCCTTGATTTGCTGAATCAGATGGATTAGTGATAGGTAAGGGAATGGGCAGCATATTAGGAAAGTACATCTCCAGAATGAGGGTTGGAGACTACTGCTGTAGAATTTGGTAAAAACTCTGATCTCAAACTCTTCAGTCTCATTATTTAGGCCAGGAGTGTCAAACTCAACTACTAAAGGGGCCATATTAAAAAATCTCAACAAATCTGTGGGCCAGAAAGAAAAAAAAAATGATTTCATTTTTAATTAATGTTGTGCTATAACCTGAACTGACCATTGTTTATGCAAAATACGCAAAAAACTTCAGCAGTAAAATCCAGGCGCTTGTAGTAGTCCTTGAAATATTACATGAGTACTTTAAATATAAAAATGTAAACATCCCCAGGAGCTCAGTCTTTTAAACCTACCTACTTGCTTGAACTAGGCACCTGGCATCCTTACTTTGCTGCAAGTTCATTAAGACTTGGGCTCAACTTCTAAGATAACGTTTGGTATTTATATTGGTTGAACTGCAGCTGAAATGAAGTGTGTTTGGTGACATGACTGGTGTGGAATTGTGTAGAATTGAGTAGAATCGAGGTGTAACCGCTGTCCCATAGACTGTTGTTGGGGTAGGAGAGTCAGAGCGCACATTACGTTTGCAGTGCATGCTGGGGACTGTAGTGCAGCGCATTGTGAAACAGGCTAATAATAATAAAAAATTAAAATACTTTTGCGGGCCGGATAGGAC